GAGTAGAGGTATTTGGGGAGTAATACGGCGGACGCTTGACTGGTATTTTGATGCAGTTACATCAGTTACGCTGGCTCCGCCATGTGTTACGCCCCTCCGAAGATCATTTGCCTAACCAAACCTTACCTGATCTGCTATCATCATCATCATCATCATCTCATCATCCACAACAATGATGCTTCGCTCGCCCTACTATGATCGGAGTGAATTGAATGAATATCAAAAACTTCACCCACGCAGATGATTACTTTGGCATATGCCGTCCGCCGAAACGAGAAGCCAGCCCAATCATTGATTGCAGACCCTCGCCTATATGGTAAATAGAGTTGTGTTCCTTCAATTGGCTTCACTTACTAGGCTTACTCAACTCATTTTGTGTTCGACGTTTAATCACTGTTGGTCTTCTTTATCAGTGGCCAGTAGCTCTGACAACCATCGACTGTTGGCCGGGAAATGGTACAATGCACACTGTTTCAATGGTTTTCAAAGGGGCGGCGAAGCATATCTGTGATGCTTGATTTCGGGTTAGTTACCGAGTATTGTGAACCAGCACACGGTCATTCTAATAAACCTCTGGGTAAAGCCTGAGATTTTGTAGTGGAGATGTGCAAGTTTGTGGAGATAACCACAAACTAACACTGGTATATTAGCTTAGTTTCTTTTCAGTCAACGTGAATCGAAACACTACGAAATGTAGCTATTTTTGGACAGTGCATAAGGCCTAAGGGGATTGTGACAGATTCACGAAGGCAAATTAGCACTCATAGTAGGACAACTCGCATGTTTTCTGGCTTGAGGTTTTATTATGTCGACCGACCAACAGAAAGAATAATCATTCTTCGTCCTTTTTTGGCGAACCTGAATGTTTGAATTACGTGATGTTTGGTGTAGCACATGACAGGAGTGTCGCTGTGAAACGGGGAAGTATGTGTCACTGGTTTTGTTTTGCCTACTGGGTTCGGACACTTGGCTCGATATTTCTTTGTTTACAAAGATTACCATGGAGATCCAGCCTTTGGAGAACCAGAAACTTGGTCTTTCCATTGTGTGCTAATCACATCCACTTTGTTAATATACCAATACGATTCCCCTAAACCGGTAACCCAGCCAATAAATACCGCACACAAATCTGCTCTAGTTCTGGTGTTCAATTGTTACCCATGCTCTTTAGGTCAGTGTATCTCAGCCTCAACTTCATCTTGCACTCCAGAAGACCTACGGTACACGGCACCATTTGTTATACCATGTAAAGCTGCCGCTCAGGCATGGTGTCGAATTTGGTCCTAGTGGTTTTAGTGTGGCTGTCTTAGTCCTGAACTCCGTAACGACTTCACGTATGGTTTAGTTTAGTTTCACTTTTAGTTTCGTTTAGGGTCTTTCAGGACCACAAATGTGAGGCATTTTACGGGAACTGCTGTTCACATGGGCTCTTTACTCACTGTAAACCCACTCAAATGCTGCACTACACACGGATAGTCAGGGCAATGAAAGTCCCGTTTGAGATTCGTCCTTTCTGTTACATATCGAAGTGTGAATCTGCAATGACGTTTGTATTCCGCTATTCACATCGCTAGTTATCCGTCCGGTATATTCATTCGGACATTCTGTGAAACAAGTTATTTATACACAACTCATGCAATGTAGTGGAGCGCTGGCAACTTTTGTTTTCACAAGGATTTATTATACTTCACCATACTTTCAGCTCATTTAACCCCAGCTGTGATGATATCTTTCACTTTATTTTTATTGCATTATGTAAATTATCAATCCGAAAGCAATAATATGGGTTCTGACAGGGCTGTGGCTGTTCAGTGACTAACTCAGTTTACCGCAAAAAACAAGGGGCCTAAAGTTTTCGTCGTTTCTTTTGACGTCACAGCTTCATGTTGTGCCTCGAAACTGCTCGTACTTCTTTATCGTTTCCAAGTAAGCACTCAGAAATTCTGTCGCCTGAAATCCTCTTCAAAAAACACAAGCTTTGTGAGTCTTTGTAAGAGGGAAAAGTTATTGGTTCCCTTGTCTTTCTTTCGCTGCAGCTCCCTCTACCAACACTTTCCTTGTCTATAGCTCTCTGACGCGATTGACTCATCCGGGTTGGTTATAAGTCAAACCACATACTTTTTCTCAATGTATTTTTCGCTGAATATATGTATCTGGGGTTGTTTTGACTGGTTGAGGCGCTACTATCGCGTGCCACATGGAAAAACACTTTTCTTTTGTAGTGCGATACTTTCTGGTTTATCAGGACTACGTGTCGCTGAATGCGAGAGGAATGGCCGCAGGCAGTCGTCAGATTTCTTCCACTGCTTTTGTGGCTAATGACGAGTTCAGCACGTGTAGTAAGATGCCGGGTTGCACGAGCATCTTGATGAGGCTGTAATTGTAGCCGCCTGACGTGCTGCAACCAATGGCCAATGTTTTCTGAGTGCGGTGATAGTGATATTCAAGCTTGAGTAAAGTGAGGGACGCAAGTGAGTCCCGTCAACTATGTCGGTTAGACAGCTGGTGACGCAAGAGACCTAACTACTGATGAGTCTGTGGGCATCGCGAGATAAGACTAATGTATCCAAAACCGTAGCTGGCTGCGTGTGAGAAATGAGCTTTGCGAAAGTGTCGGCTGCATAAGATGGAAGTTTGAGTACGGATAGTTGCACAGATAAACGTGTGAGAAACATTGGGAGTAGCAATGAGGCTGCGCATCAGTCTGGCACAGCCATTGGTGAAAGGGTCCCCAACAAAAGCACTCGCAGATATTTCACCCTTATGTTACACTGTGTGCATATATCGTAGTCAGCTAAATTGCATAGTCAGTCTGTCTCTCACCACTCCGCTTGGAGGAAAGCATACGATCATGACAAAATTGTTCAGTTTTTTCTCTTTCTCCAAGTCATTCAGTGGATGAACCTAATAAATGAATATTCTGCGATCTACACATGTGGACAAACTGCCTCGATACCCTCCTCGAATGAGTCACCGATATTGGCATGCATCGCTCAACTATTGCGTACACTTCAAGGGGTGCAATGCCAGCTTTTTTGGTCAGAGAATCGCATCTCCCATCGGTAAAATTACTTGGTGTTTTATTAAACGTTTGCTTGGTATGGTCCAAAGAGGAATGGCTGTAAGCATTGTAACTTGCAAGTCAAGATGTCGGAAGATTATAAAGGACAAAGTACGTGCCTAAACGATAAACCTAGTTTCACCTTTAACAAGAGAAGACGCGTTACAACTCGTTCGAAGCTCTTCCTGTCTCTCAGATGCAAAATGTTCTTTTCGGTTGGGTGGGAAATGCGCCTCTGCTGTTTGAAAACCAACTGAGAAACAGTAGTTCATTTACCTAAGCTCTCTGCTACAATTGCTGTGGCCGCTGTAGGCCATCGAAACCCCGAATTCAGCGTTGCGACATGCATTGTGAGAGATGTTGCACTGGTGCTCAGCTTTACGTGTTCTGACTTTGAATTGACCGCGCGTTTCCCCGGGGAACTTTGTTTGCGTTATAACTATTGTGAGTGAGGGAAACACTAAAGGATGAGTGGATGCTTTAAGTAACTGACCTAGTGACCTATTCAAATGGCCTTGAACAGCAACTGGTCGATTGGAATGCCAAAGACAAAGTCAGCCAAACATATTGGCGTGGCCTAAACAATCCACAGCAGATAGTATGGAGGTCGCGAGCCTATGACTGACAGATTGCGTTGTCCCTTACCTGTTAATTTCCACCGTTAAAACGGGGGACAGACTTTTGAGGTTGAGTATGACACCCAACCGTTGAATCGGTGGCCGCGTGCACCTAGAGTGTGTGCGTTCGGTAGGGTTATAGTGGTCCAGTGTGGGTTCTCCTACTGAGGCTGTAGACTCTAAAATGGATATTTCGGAAGTGTCCAGCAGCAGATCCAGAGGCAGTAAGTAGATTAGCATTGTCAGAATAACGGTGTTTGAATTTGTGTACCATGTGCGCACTCCAGATTCTGTTCAAAATTGATAAAAGAGGGCGATCCAGAATGGGAGATATGTATCACGCTGCAGTACTTGGTCTAATGCGGTTGCTTTGCGAAATTTTCAAAAAGTAGGTGACAAACTTCGAACGGAGTCACCTAGTGTTCGCCTGACGTCGGTGTCCGTATTGACCAGTGGTATTACCATGTCTTCCGGTATTTGGTTCACTATCGATGCAGTGACTTAAAGCTCGCCAAATCCAATGGACTGAAACTAACGGTACGTTAAAGGGCATTAGGATACATAGTGAATAATTTGTAACTCTTGGGCAGTATAGATTCCAACCTAGGCCCAAAATGCACTTGAAACTTCCTGGGCTTTCAAAGCTCTTGATGGTTTGTTTACCCAAACTGTTTTAGGGTACAGCCGAACCACTTGCTTCAGAGTACATAAAAAAATGGGGCTGTTAAAATTTGATTGATTTAAAAAAAATCCATGAAAATTTCAACAAAAAACCGCTCTTTGATTCTAAATTAACTCTTGCATCAAAATGAAGTTTAAGTTGGAATATCGCCCNCTCTTTGATTCTAAATTAACTCTTGCATCAAAATGAAGTTTAATTTGGAATATCGCCCACTGATCGTAAAATGCCTGAATATCTCTTCCGTCATTTTACTGATTGAGTATTGGTATTTTACACTCACTATTTACCTATGAAAGGCTTGGGGAGAATCTTACTTGAGCTCGGGAACGTTGAAGACCAGTCATCATTGTCTTGACGCATGACGTGGCCCAAAAAAGCACTGAGCTTGGTTACGGTACAGCAAATTTTCTCGGACCACAAGGTATCGATGAAGATCCAGTTGTGTGCACGTCAGCTGACCAACGTGAAAATCGATCCTTGGTAGTAGGTTGATGGTTTGAAATTATCAGCTAAAGCGGGGCGTTCGGATGGAAATGGGCAAATAAAATTTCTGTTGTATTACAGCCGAGACTAAAACTGAAGGATGGATTCTGTGTGTGTATGCTGTCCATGCCGTAATGAACAGCCTACGGGCTTCGAAATGCCTAACACATGTTCGGGTGGGCCATTTCATTCTGAGGGAACCACAGCAAAATACAGTGATTTCAATGAAGAACATTGTTCTCCTGGAAATCTTACGCAGACTTACGTTACATGCGCTAGTCACGCGCAACCACACATCCAAGCTGATGACTGCGGAGGACAATATTGTTGTGAATGTTTTACTTTTCCCAACTGTACGATATATCGGCAGGATTACCGTGGTTGTGAACAGGATCGACCCAACCCAGTCAGATATACGGACAGTCTACGTGTCGCAGACGCGCCTTTCGCTAATTGTACTCTCTACCGCACAGATTACCGAGGACAGGAGCAGCAACGACCAGATGCAATTCGTAAAACAGATAACCTGACGATATCTGGATGTCCGTTCAATGTATCCACAAATTACCGACAAGATTTCCAAGGAAGAGCACAGGAACGTCCAGACCCTGTAAAATTACAAGATAACCTTGATATCGCTGACGTACCATTCGACAACTGCACTTTGTACCGGACAGACTACCGAGGACGATCAGATCAAGAACGGCCGGAGGCAGTCCGCAAAAGCGACAATCTGACTATACCTGATGCTCCACTAAGTGCATGTACGAACTATCGACAGGACTTCAGAGGTAGAACTCAAGAACGCCCAGACCCAGTTAAATTACCAGATAACCTCAGCACGGTAGATGTACCGTTCGATGGGTGCACAGTGTATCGAGCGGATTATAGGAGGCGGGCTGACGAAGGACGGCCGGATGCAGTCCGTAAGCCAGATAACTTGACGGTACCCAGTGCTCCTTTTGATGTGTGCACAAATTACCGGCAAGATTTCCGAGGTAGAACACAGGAACGTCCTAACCCGGTGAAATTACCTGATAATTTGAAAATGATTGATGCGCCATTTGCTGACTGTACACTGTACCGGGCTGATTTCCGAGGACGTTTAGACCAGGGCCGACCACTTGCCGTTCGTAAAGCTGACAATCTGTCTTTATCCGATGCTCCTTTCGGCGCACACACCAGTTATCGACAAGACTTTCGTGGCAGACCACAAGAACGACCAGATCCCGTCAAACTGCCAGATAATCTCAAGCCTAATGATGCGCCGTTTGACAGCTGTACTCTATACAGAACTGACTATCAAGCGAAGGACTATGAACGAGCTCAATCGATTCAAACATGTGACAACCTGACTATACCTGATGCCCCGTTTGATGCATCTACTAATTACAGACGAGACTTCCAAGCCCGTGAACAAGAGCGGCCCAATCCAGTCAAACTGCCAGACAACCTATCTGCTGCGAATGCACCTTTTGACGGTAGAACTTTATATCGAGACGACTATCGTAGACGATCTGATCAAGGACGACCACAATCGATTCGCACTTGTGACAACCTTACACTACCAGATGCTCCATTTGAGGCGCACACCAACTACCGAAGTGATTTCCAGAGTCGGGATCAAGAACGTGCTTGTCCAATCAAAAAACCTGATAACCTAGCTTTCTCCAATGAGCCATTTGAGAACTCCACGCAGTACCGCCAGTCTTTTCGTGGTGCTAACTTAGAACGTCCGTCTATTAAGAAGCTTGTCGATAATCTATCAATCCCTGATGCACCTTTTGACACCTGCACCAATTACAGGAAGGACTTTCGCGGCATGGCACATGTTAGATCGGAAGCAGTTACGCACGCCGATAATCTGAAAACTTCGGATGATCCATTCTGCGGTTCATCAACCTATCGGAAAGACTTTCGTGGCCTGTGTACTCGTCGCCCAGATATGATCAAACATGGCGATAATCTGAAAGTGGGCCCACACTGTTTCTCTACATGTATGCATCATTTTGCTTCCACCGGACGTTGCATACCGAAATCCCAACCGAATACCTGTACTCCCTATGAAGCTCCTCGAAAACCTCCGGCTAACTGCATGTGCAAGTACCGAAGTGCAGCTGTGAAAATTCCGGTGCCTGCAACAATAGAGGTTAAATAACTCGATTCCCAATGTGCTCGATCGAATGTAATTAAATCAACTATCTAGCCACCGAATCCAAGCTGGAAACACAGTCAAGAATATCTGAAAACACGACGTTCAGGTGCCTTAGTTCAATTGCTCCCTAAATCTTGTTTACACCATCACAATCGCACACGTTTGTTTATTCGGTGCAGCTCTAGTTCCACCAAGATTATTTGGAAAAAGCATCTATCCGTTTAACAATCACATTATATATTTTTATTCACTATGGTGGGAGGGTATCAGGTGGTTCAGAAGACCCAGACTTTGGAACCGCTCAGGCAACAAAAAGGTTTTGTGAAACGCCCAAATTTCTTCCACTCCACCATTTTCGTCTTTCCTTTAACATTATCATTGCGATCATCGTCAACTGCAGCAACTGATGAAACATATCTATACTTACAACTACATATGCATGGAAGATATAAATAAATGGAAGTCGCATACAGCTAGTCGAAGCCTGACGAAGGGGGGTTATGCCTACTGGCACCTTACCTGTGAACATGTAATTTTCAAGCAACCAAACAAGGTGTTTCACTGAAGTTTTTTTGAGATTCTCGAACGGGTTGGTTGCGGATTAAGCAGGTGATGAGAGGGTTCCAAGAAAAGACATGTGAAGCAACGAGGGTCTCGAAATCGGTGCTCTCAATGGACCTACCATTTTACTTTACTGCGGTCATCTCGGGAATAAGGAGAAGCAATTTTCTTTGACCCACCACCACAGATATGGGAGAACAAGCGAAAAATTGCAAGACAGCTTTTGCCTATGCACAAACAAGGTGGGATGAGCACTCTTCGAAAACCGAATGATCAAAAAAGTGCGTAATGATGTTAGGATTGCCCCACAGTCCTTCCTGGCTACATGGTGTTCCGGTTTCCACGTAGTGGTCCAGAAACTAAATGGTGAACATGTGGTTGAAAATTTGAAAATGAACATCTCATACAGATTCACTCCAGAAGTGTCAACTGTACTTCCATGACCTCAAGTGTAATGTGATCGCAGTAAAAGTGTAAACAAAGATGGCCTGATTGACTAACCTTACGGTTTGTTGGATGTTAATACAACTTCGCTTCACCAGGTCATAAATTTTCGGTCTGCTTGCTATCGAAATCACTTGACTCAATCTTAATAAATCGTCTGTGATTGGTTTACCTAGTCAGATTACCCGATGCGCATGACGTCAAATCCATTCATTAGGCAAACAAAAATCTTAGAACTTTCAAAACGCGATGCGGGACGTATGTACCACTTGAGCATGGTCGGTTGAAAGCTCGGACAAACAGTCCGCCTCCGTCGACTCAAACAGAATAAGACACCTAGTTCGGGTGGAGAATAGCAATCGATACGAGTTTAAAAATGCCTTCGCCCAAACTGCCAAGGTGAAATCTCGCCCAAACAGGTGAAATCGACCTAAATGTACTCTCAGACGACCTTTGCAGGGCACATTTGGTTGGGGAATATGCTGTAAAAGAGGTTTATTTGGGTTGTACTTTGACACCATATTAGCGTACGCCTGAGTAATACTCAGGCACGAAAGAGAGGTGGTGGAATCAGTGAGGTATACTCATTAACAAATGATGTTAGTGGTAAGCATATTATTATATTACTGTTATATTATTATATACTATACTGTATTATTATATTATCCAACTTAGTGTATCAAAAAAACATCATCTCATTTTCCAGCTGATACAATGTTCTGCAGGCTGCAGGATGTTTGCTTGACTTACAACACTACACATAAGGTTTCTGAGAGATCAAAACTCTTCCACCCTTTTCGGGGGCTAATCGTTTTTGATGAGCTCTAAGAAAGGCAATACACAAAGGATTTCCAGCAACCTTATAAGCAGTATGTTGCGTCAAGAAAAAGGCGTGCGGATTTCACAACAGCGTCCATACACTATGCTCGTGTATCACATTCCACTTTTCTCGTGATTTTTCAAGACTTTACCATGGAGGGTGAAAGTTTGCGAATCACAGCACACCTGTTTGGAAGGGCATCAATCTAAAACAAGACAATATAATTGCACCAGTAAGTACCATAACCATATCAACTGGAGCCACTATTGATATCCCTCTTTGCAGTTAACCTATTGCCGTCCAGCATGAATTACTCCGTTGACGCATTCTTTGGAATGAGTTCAGAGCATATTCGGATGATCAGAACTCACCGAAACGAAACACGTAAAGCTAGGCTCCATGGACGGGGAATTAGAATGACGTCAGTTGGAATGTTCTGGCCTTTGTGAAACGCCCTGGCACAACCCGATAAAACGACACCATTTTCCATAAAATGTATATAGGCTATCAGCCATTGGTATGCACTTGAAGATGATGTGGTCACTCTTATGGAGTCCTGAACCGATATCTGGTCGTGCATCATATTGTATTGTGGTACTGTATTGTGGTTTAATCAATCCCCTCAACCGGGATTTCTCGTTGTGCTCGATGGCATGGAAACGGGCAAACATGTTGTCAAGCGCTAAGTTCATCCATTAACATTGACGAGGGTCACCTGTACTGATCTTTCGACCAACAAAACGACCTGAGTTCAGCTATGGCTAAGCACTCTGCTGAGCCGAGCTTGTAGCGCTCGAGTGCCTGCTACTCTACATTGATTTCACTTTAGACATCTTGTAACAATGGCAGCACGTTTTCCATAAGGCTGTGGAAAACTCTTCTATAAGCTACTTGCCCCTCTTGGGGCTCCGTTGAGTCTTCGATTAATAACAGCTTCACCTAAAAATAAGTTGTCTGTTTAACATAAATTGAAGGGGCAAAAATGACAGACCTAAACCAATTCATTGGAGTGTTCGCTTAGTTTTCCGTGGATTTTGAATACATGCTTCAAAAACCTAATAGAAGCCCATCTGAGATTTATATGTGGTGGGACGGTTTGTTAAAGACAAGCATTGGTCTTTCTAAATTATCCAATCAGAGTGAATGTTTCACCACTAATACCATAACACTATACATTCATTGTACCCTACGGAAAGCAGTCTATACGAGAGACAACCATCGAGCCGTCTTGCATCTGATGCGTAAGTAACGAAACATTCACAGGTCTCGGCATCCACAAGTTTGTGCGGCACTGCCGGCTCAAGTAAGCGGGATACTCTCAAACGCCATAACCGAGAAGCCCAGTTATGAAGTTAGCTGCTACCAGTGAAAAGAAGAAAACCTTCAGTGCGAAGTTATCTATTAGGAAATGCCAATTGACGGTTACAGATCACTGAAGAGGGAAGCAAAACTCTAATTTGCGTTTTATTTACAAAAACTGGAAACAAATCTTCTCCCGAACGCATCTTCTTGAAATTTCCTGGAGATCCATTGACTCCAATCATTCCTAGGTCAAATCCAAGCAAGTGATACAAAGTGACTCTACGAATTCCGCAACAGATCTCCCCTTTTCAAAAGACGCAAAGCGAAATTCTACGAGCAACACATACTACTCGCGTGCCTCCCCATCAGTGGTATCACCGTTACACAAGTGCTTGTACCGTTAGATCAGTGCTCAAAATATAAGAAGTAGTAAGCTGACGGACAGGTCATAGTTAAGAGGGCTCAATTCAACAGTTATAAGATAGGATCGACGTTGTCCTTTTAGATTAGTCAGTATTCCGTAGTTCTTGAAATATATCACCGTCCTTTGTATGGAAAACGGTCATGCTGCCGTGTAGGCGAGCGAATCGGGGAAGCCCTTCTCCAATTGCTGATCTAAATCTCCCATGAAACTACTCCCCGTTGGAGTAGGGGCGCTGCAGTTATTTTGTTCAAATGCCGCTTTCGATCACCTAGCTTTGCTGCATGAAAGCAAAAGGTCCACCGGCTAAAGACTGTAAATGCTTGTCTTGCCTTCACAATGGGTAGGATCTGTGTTCTTCACTTCTAGCACTGCCTGAAAGTAATTTCGTGACTTTCCTATCGCGGCGAAAATTACCTCAAGTGCAGCGAGATAGACAGGTTATCATGTCTTTCTGAGCGATTCCTGATGAGACAATCAACAACGGAACAGCTTCGCTGTCTTCGAAACTGGATGTTTTCATCATCAGACTGCATTTTAACCAAATTATTTCGTTAACCTGATGCTCATCTACCTGCCAATATCTTGGATTCAGCGTATGCAATATAATCAATATCTCTTTCTGTTCCAACTTTGTGATAGACTATTATAGAAAAGGGATCCTTTGCTGTCTTCTGTTGACTGTCTGACTGATCGATCGACGAAGACAGACCTGAATTCCTAGCCGTTCATGGGATATACACCTGGAAAATCGCCAATTTATTCCCTATCCTGTTCACTCCTTCATTCGTTCATCCATATATATACTCGGGCAATCGTTTGTTTATTTATTTATCTCAGTAGTTCTCACTTATCTACTCATTTAATTGTTTCAATCATTCGTTGGATAAAACGAAAGTTTCTGACATCACAGTATTGCCATCTAGTGTGGTTGTCTCCCAAAAACAAAGCCACTCTCTGGCTAGGTTACTTTGATTTCAGGTAAATATCCTCATTACAATTACCTTAGGATTACGGTGTTTTTCTTTACCATAATACATTTTTTCAGGTCAAACAGGTATCACCAGAAACCAGACGAAGAACTTACAAAAATGCGCTTTCGAGTATCGATCTAAAAGTTTAAATGGTTGGAAGACTTCAGTATATCATCCCAGTGGGAACTTTACTGTTGTGTATGCCAGTCTGTTCGCCTCAAGACCTAACTGGGCCGTTTTCCCACGCTTTAACTAATTAGCTCAATGGTATTTGCTAGGAATCGTCATTTTATTTTCCTGATTTAAAATGTCTTGTAGATAAATTGTTGGATTTGGTGAATCTTGCTGACGTTTATTCAGAAATCGAGACTGACAGCCACTATGCCAGTTCAGTGTGTTGTATCGGTTCATGTGACTAA